CGACTTTTTGTAGCTGCTCCTGAAGGCGAACCGTAACTGCTACAGGGTTGCGCTTTGGTGGGTGGGTGGGTAGCCAATGTCTGGTTCTATACGGCACAAAAAACCAGGATGCTTTATCTGAATTAGTTCCGAAGTTACAGCCGCTCAAAGTTTGCCTTTTTTTCCCCCACATTTAACCCAATTTGCACAGTTTTTCGACTCTAGTTTTTCGCCAAAATGCAGGAAACAACTTTGAATCGAATTTCCGATCCCCCCGGGTCCCCCCGGATCGATTTTAGTCAAAAAAAAGAAAATTTTTTTTTGGTCCAACTTAGAAATTTTTCCTGATCAAAATGACTAAAAAATGGCCGATTTTGGCCGGTTTTTTGCGTTTCAATACGACTTTTTGTAGCTGCTCCTGAAGGCGAACCGTAACTGCTACAGGGTTGCGCTTTGGTGGGTGGGTAGCCAATGTCTGGTTCTATACGGCACAAAAAACCAGGATGCTTTATCTGAATTAGTTCCGAAGTTACAGCCTCTCAAAGTTTGACTTTTTTTCCCCCACATTTAACCCAATTTGCACAGTTTTTCGACTCTAGTTTTTCGCGAAAATGCATGAAACAACTTTGAATCTGAAGGCGAACCGTAACTGCTACAGGGTTGCGCTTTGGTGGGTGGGTAGCCAATGTCTGGTTCTATACGGCACAAAAAACCAGGATGCTTTATCTGAATTAGTTCCGAAGTTACAGCCGCTCAAAGTTTGCCTTTTTTTCCCCCACATTTAACCCAATTTGCACAGTTTTTCGACTCTAGTTTTTCGCCAAAATGCAGGAAACAACTTTGAATCGAATTTCCGATCCCCCGGGTCCCCCCGGATCGATTTTAGTCAAAAAAAAGAAAATTTTTTTTTGGTCCAACTTAGAAATTTTTCCTGATCAAAATGACTAAAAAATGGCCGATTTTGGCCGGTTTTTTGCGTTTCACTACGACTTTTTGTAGCTGCTCCTGAAGGCGAACCGTAACTGCTACAGGGTTGCGCTTGTGGTGGGTGGGTAGCCAATGTCTGGTTCTATACGGCACAAAAAACCAGGATGCTTTATCTGAATTAGTTCCGAAGTTACAGCCGCTCAAAATTTGCCTTTTTTTCCCCCACATTTAACCCAATTTGCACAGTTTTTTGACTCTAGATTTTCGCCAAAATGCAGGAAACAACTTTCAATCGAATTTCCGATCCCCCCGGGTCCCCCCGGATCGATTTTAGTCAAAAAAAAGAAAATTTTTTTTTGGTCCAACTTAGAAATTTTTCCTGATCAAAATGACTAAAAAATGGCCGATTGGCCGGTTTTTTGCGTTTCAATACGACTTTTGTAGCTGCTCCTGAAGGCGAACCGTAACTGCTACAGGGTTGCGCTTTGGTGGGTGGGTAGCCAATGTCTAGTTCTATACGGCACAATAAACCAAAATGCTTTATCTGAATTAGTTCCGAAGTTACAGCCGCTCAAATTTTGCCCTTTTTTCCCCACATTTAACCCAATTTGCACAGTTTTTCGACTCTAGATTTTCGCCAAAATGCAGGAAACAACTTTGAATCGAATTTCCGATCTCCCCGGGTCCCCCCTGATCGATTTTAGTCAAAAAAAGAAGATTGTTTTTTGATCCAGCTTTGAAATTTTTCCTGAGCAAAATGACTAAAAAATGGCCGATTTTGTTCGATTTTTTGCATTTTAATACGACTTTTTATATCCGCCACTGAAGATGAATCGTACTGCTACAGTTTTGGTGGGTGGGTAGCCAATGTCTGGTTCTATACGGCACAAAAAAACAGAATACTTTATCAGAATTAGTTCTAAAGTTACAGCCGCTCAAAGTTTGCTTTTACTTCCCCCAAAATTTACCCAATTTGCTCAGTTTTTTATTTTAGTTTTTCGTCAAAGTGCAGGAAACAACTTTGAATCGAATTTCCGATCCCCCCGGAATCCCCCTGATCGATTTTAGTCTAAAAAAAGAAAAAAGATTAAAGTGACTTTGTTACTGTAGGCGAACCGTAACTGCTACAGTGTTGCTCTTTGGTGGGATGGTAGCCAATCTCAATTGGTTCGAAAGTTACAGTCGCTGAAAGTTTGCGTTTTTTCCTCCATAATTTACCTAATTTGCTCTGTTTTTCCACTCTATTTTTTGGCCAAAATGCTGGAAGTGAATTTTTACAACCGTAACAGTAGACAAACCGTAAGTGCGACAGGGTTACGCTTTGGAGGACGGGTAGCCAATGTGTGTTTTTTTTTTTAATGCATCAAACAACTTTTGAACAAATTCGGATTTTGTTAATGGGGTAAGGCGTTAATTTTGTTAAAGAGTATTAAAGATTTTCTTTCTAAAAGTTTAAACAAAGGTGATATTAACTTGCGGAGCTTTGGGTGAGCTGAAATCAATGTAGGCCTGAAACCTCTCTACACCTGTATTGTGTGTTCATTGTGACTGTAGATGTCCCAGGGTTCACTTCTTCTTGTTGTCATGTTACCAACATAACAGAAAAATATTCCCTGGATACAGAATTGAAATTTTGCTGATTCAAACTTTTTAAGGTAAGTTTTTTTCCCCTTAATTTTTAATGTTTAACTATATGTTTTATTTCTACTACTATATACTTAGCATTGTCTTTTTTCTTTCAGTTTATGATATTTTCATTAGAGATGTAATCATAATAAAAAAAATTCAAGCCAAGAAAGGACAAATGTTGCTGAATAAATACTATATATTTTCAAGGTAAAGATAACTTGATATTCATAACGTATTATTTTGACTTAATTTGAATTTCATTTTTCAACAGGTAAACTTCTGCTTCAACTATGTAACTGCAGTCGCCCTCAAGCATGATTTTGAATGCATGCTAAGATTTAAATATAATGTAATAAAATACCTTATCAAATATTAATAAAAAGTCTGTGCATACTGAGTAAATATTCATCAGTAGGACTAGTGGCCATGCCTAAAGAATAAAATCTTTATAGCACAATATATAAGTAAGTAAATAACTAAGTAATAATTGAAAAATGCTTCTAAGCGTGTTTTAAAATTACTTAGTTTAATGAATTATTGTATTTATTGGATCATAGAGTGACCCTGTCGTATAGTTTTGACACCAGGTAACTCCGCTGATGGAAAAAGACTCATTTTGGCCAAGTTGAAATATTTCGATTTGTTGGTCATACTAATATGAAGTATACCTCACAACACTTTTGTTATCAGAATACTTTATAATTATATAATGCTTATAAATTCTCTGCTACCAGTTCTGCAATATATCATGTGTTTTTTGGTTTTATTTACAATGCATTTGATTGTTTTGATGAGCAAATATTTATATCCCAGTTTTGTCCACACATTTCGTCTTTCGTCTGTTTTATTTGTATGTGATCAAATGTTTTCTTCATTCTTCTCTTATTATAATATTACAGGACGGTATGCAGCATGAGTTTTTAGTTCATCTACAAGCCAAATACATTTGTTTTTAATCTGAGGTAGGTCAATTTTAAGATTTTTCTAAAAGCTATTTGCCGTGATTGCTATAGATAAACAATTTATGCTAATATATGATATAACTGAAGAATAATATAAAAATATAATATAATATTATAATAAAGCTGAAAGTGTGATAATCATGATATATAAGAATACAGATCAAGTAATGATAATCATATAATACATAGGAATAAAGCTGAAAGAACTATAATCATATTATATACAAGGTGCCGGATTAGCATAAACTTCGGCTTGTTTCCGAAACCTTACCTTTTTCTGTAAAAATTTCATTTAATATAGAAATAAAATATTGTTTAAATCATACAAGAATGAAGACGAAGGAATGATAATGTTATAATATATGATAAAAATAAAGATGAAGGAAGGGTATATTAGGAAAAGGGAACAATAATATACATTATAAAAAGAAATGCTAAAGTAATGACAAGTAATTGTAAAGAGAGCTAGATGAATGATAATGTATAATATATTAGAATATAGCAGAAGGAATGGTAATTATATATAATATGTTAATGTTACAATATGATAAATTGGATAAATGATAATGTTATAATAATGTTCTATTATAATAGAAAGGATAATGATCAAATAGATATAATGGATAAAGCTGAAGGAATGGTCATGTTGTAATGCATAAGAATACAACTGAACGAATGGTACTTATATAAGCATAAAGCTAAAGGAATGATAATGTTATAATAGGAATATGATAGGAATTATAAACAGTAAGAGAATAATCATATTGGTTGTTACATTCTGTTAATTACAAATCCTCTTCCCATTCTTAACGGGATCTTCCCATGGTTACGATATAAGATCCTATCCACTAGAAGGATAAAAAGCATAATCTCTCCGAAGCGTAACAGGGCTCCATGTGTAGCTTCCAAGGGAACGGAACACTTGAATCTGAGAATCTATTGGGTTTATTTATGCTGCCTGTTGAACGCTTCAGTAAATGTGTGAATGTGTTTTAATGCTAGTTAATCACATTAATTATATTTTGTCTGAAAAGAAAATATGACTTCTTTAGGTTATAAGGGAAGTCTGGCCAAATTTTCTTTTCCCAATTCAAGTCTTATCCCCCACTGTGGCTATAATCTGATGAGTTGTTTATCATATAAGACGTAAAGAATGAAAGTTTAAAGCGCATCAGATTTATAAAAAAGTGTGTCAATTTGCAAGTATGAATGTATTTTCAATCTCAAAATGTTACTTTGTTTGAAGAGAAAAGATGACTTCTTTAGGTTATAAGGGAAGTCTGGCCAAATTCTCTCTTCCCAATTCAAGTCTTATCCCCCACTGTGGCTATAATCTGATGAGCTGTTTATCATATAAGACGTAAAGAATGAAAGTTGAAGCTCATCAGATTTATAAAAGT